TTTGGCCTACCTGGGATCACATCAGGATTTTTAAAAATTTTCTGGACATGAAAATTGATCTTTACGGCTCTTAACGGGCAAAAAATAATTAGTTAGTTGTGGAATGCAATCGGCATGCGAGGAGTGACGCGCGACAAATGACGGGCTAAGGGCAATGGAGCGATTGACAAAGGGTTGGAGAATGAGTGATGCTAGTTCCAGCTGATTACCATTTTGAAGAAGACAAGGAGAAGTTGTACACGCAACTGAAAAATATATGTCAATCACCTCTTGCGAATTTTTAACGGCATGGTGAAAATCATATCACCATTTTTTTGGAAGATTTTTTGGGCAAAAAATTGATCTTCACAGCTTCCCTCATATAAAAGGGGAAGCCTTGAAGCGGAGAAGTATAAAGCGAGATGGCAAGTGGCAGACAAAGGTGACCGGCAACCAGCAAGGGGTAGAGGATGGGTGGTTAGGGGACAGATAATGACTAACAAGGGGTAGAAGGCGGTTGACAGACGGAGGAAGACAACTAGTAGGGGGCAGAAGGCAATTAGTTGGTGGTGAAATGCAATCGGCGTGTGAGAAGTCATGTACGATGGACGACGGGTTAAGAGTAATAGGGCGGCTAACAAAGGGCAAATATCAAAGAATGAGTAATATTAGCTCCAACCCATTACCATCAAGAAAGAGATAAGGAGAAGTTGTACACGCAATTGAAAAAGATATGTCAGTGACTTCGTGCGGATTTTCAGCGAATAGGTAAAAATTAATACACCGAAATTTTGGAAGCTTTTTAGGGAGAAAATTTAATTTTCACGGCTTCCGTTGCCTATAAAAAGAGAAATCTTAAAGCGAAGAAGTGCAAGCCGATAAGAGAAAAAAAACAGATAGGTGGTGGGTGGCAAATGGTGAGTGGCAGACAAAAGTGACCAGCAACTAGCGAGGGATATAAGACGGATGACGACCAACGAAGGGCAAAAAGGCGATTGGTGGGAGGTGGAAGATAGTTGGTAGTGGAATGTGATCGACATGTGAGGATTGATGCTCGACGGACGACGGGTTAAGGGCATTGGGGCGACTGATAAAGGGCAGATGTTGGAGATGTGTGATGTTAGTTTCAGCCTGTCACCATAAAAAAAAAAAAAAAAAAAAAAAAGATAAAGATAAGTTATATACATAACCGGAAAAGATATGTTAGTGACCTCTTACAGATTTTTAGTGACATGATAAAAATTAATTCACTAAATTTTCAGAAGATCTTACGAGTTGGAAAATTGATCTCCACAACTTCCCTCGCCTATAAAAGAAATAGTTTTGAAGCGGAGAAGTGCAAGGTGAGAGGAAAAGAAAGTAGATAGTGGTGGGTGGCGGATGGCGAGTGGCAGACGAAGGTGACCAATAAGCAGCAAGGGGGGGTGGATGACGAGTGGTCAAGAGGCGGATAACAACCAACAAGGGGTAGAATGCGATTGGTGGGCAGTGGAAGCCAGCTGGTAGGGAGTCTAAAACGATTAATTGGTAGTGGAATGTAATCGGCATGTAAGGAGTGACACGTGATGGACGACGAGTTAAAGACATTGGGGCGACTGACAAATGTGGGACGCCCTGGTGTCAGCTTGACACCCACATCCGAAGAGCAGATAATAATCTATTTAGAGTACAGTGGAAACATACATTCATACAAAAAGTTACTTGGAAAAAACAAACAATTGAGACATATAATTATCAACATAAATATACAAGGTTTGATAACCTATCTATTTACAACCTCTCTAAAATACAAAATACCAAAGATGAGAAGATAACTTCCAAGAATCCCTCTCTAGCTCCTAGGTCTCTTTGAAGAAGTTTAACCTGTCAGATCAACAGAAGAGTACGAAAGGAGGTGAGCTCAAGTGGACTCAATAAGAGAAACAATATTAAAGCCTTATAGATACGGTTGAAAATATAATTATATGCAATTTCTAAAATTATTTTATCAAATTACAGATAAACAACAAACAGTTCTATCAAAGCAATCAACTCACATGTACCTGATATCGATATTTGTTGAGAAAGCACTGTTGTCCCTCGCTAAATCATACAGATGTCCCTCAAAGGGTTCAACCTCAATCACAAGCAAATACAAACACACGCATACGAATCGACTCCTTCTTTTTAAGTCTTTTATATTGCTTAACATTCTTTTATTTAGTTTAGCTGTTGCCATACCTACGTGTGTAGCCGCTGTCATCTATTCCCTGAGAGCCAGATGTAAGACAACCAATCTACTACGTGAATGGGCGTAGATGCAGATAACATAAAACTAACGTGCAAATAAACCACTGAAAATTCACTCGGGTCGTTGTAGTTCATACCCCCTGGCCGAGGGTATGAACTACGTTCAGTTCCTAAAGGATCCTGAACAAACAGATCTATCATTCACTGCCTAGCAATTGGCTCCTCAGATAAACAATACCTCCAGGAAATCAGATACAATAAATTTAACAGGACTGTTGGGTTAATTAAATCTTAAACTCTCAATTATTTATTTTTTTTAATAAAATTACACTAACTTAGATTAAATTAAAACCCAAAAATTCCAATTAAATCCCTAATTCCAGTTTACAAATTTTTACAGATAAAATCCCCACATGCAATATTTCCATTTTTTTTTAATTTATTTCTTCCAATTTTACTCTTGAAATTCTCAATTTCACTTTCAAATAAAACCAATTATTTTACCTAAAATCGGATTCTAAAGAAATCCTCAAAAAGGGAATTTCATGCGGTCAAACCCGCATGCCTGCACAGTCCCCCAGCACGCAGACACGCCTGGCAGACCTGCACAACGCACTTGGCCTACTGCTAACA